GTTATATTTGAATATCAAAGAATTATAACAAATGGTGAATTTGAAGTTAAATTACAAGAGAAAGGAAGTTGTAATGTAAAGTTAATTGGATTATATGTTAAAACTATGGGAAATAAAATACTTGTTGGAGATCTTATGAAAAGTATTAGTGTTTATTCATTTGATAATAATGGAAATAATAAAAATTGTTTAAATGAAGTTAGTAGAGATTTCTATGCATCTTATACAACTGCAATTGAATTTGTTGATGAAAATTGTTATCTTAGTTCTGATAGTAATTCTAATTTATTAGTATTCAATACAAATTCTACTGGTAATGAATCAGAAAGATTTAGACTTAATAATTGTGCACATATTCATGTTGGAGAATGCATTAATGTAATGTGTAAAGGATCCATTGCACCAACTCATTCAACATATGAAACCATCCAGAAGAAATGTATATTATTTGGAGGAGTTACTGGATACATTGGTGGAATATGTGAAATTCCAAATGAAATATATGATATATTGATTAAAGTACAAAATCAAATTTTACTCCAAATGAAAGGCATTGTTGAATGCACAACACCTGATGAATGGAAAAAAGTTATTGATGATTGGAAACGAATGCCTTCAAGTAATATTATTGATGGAAATATTGTTGAGAGTTATTTGGAAATGTCTAAAGAAAAACAATGTGAAATTGCACATTTAAGTGGAGTTAATGAAGAACAAATAAATGATATCATAGAAAATATGATTAGTCTATTCCATTAATAATTTAGTTAAATTCTATTCTTTTTTACCTATTTTTTAATTAAATTGACTTTATGAACATGTTAATAAACCATTAATCATCTAATAAGTTTGTTATTTATCAAATTCTATTTTGTTGACTTTATTCAAACAATTACTTATGCCATCTATGTTTTTATCTTTTAAGGTCGACTATCATTAAATATAATAGTACATTACAATACACCATCACCTTTAGTTTTATAAAAAAAATAGAAAGAAAATTACTTACAAACAGTAAATAAGTTAACTGAACAAAAAAGACAAAAAATGTAAAATTATAGGAGCTAAGTGAGAGTAATGACTTAAGAGAATAGAATTTAATAAGGCATGACAGCCAATCAATTTCATTAACAAACTTTGTAAGTGTATATGAAATTTAAGAAAATATAATAGTAATATATTATACTTTTATTGTTTTAATCATTTAATCAGTTGACTATTGTTATTGCATTGTGAAATATTCATATTAATTTTTGTTGATTATGAATTTATTAATTCAGTACATTACTTCTTGTTATATTTAGTTATTATTATTTCAATTTATTGTATTACATCACTTTGTTTTATGTTTTTTATATCTTTCTCTATCACTAATTTTCAATTTTTAATTTTATAATTATACTCGTTTTATTCGTGTATTATTTTATTCTCATTTTATTGTTCTGCAACACCAATACTTTTTACGTTATCTTATAAGATTGATAATTTTTTGGATATAAGATAAGTTTATGGAAGTCAATATAAATTATCAAAGTCCAATACCTGTTTTCCAAAATTTATGTTTATAACAATTTGATTTTACAAACATAATTATTTGGCATAGTAAATTTTTTGTTCAATTAAAATTAGTCTTTTGTTCATTGAGAGATTTAAAGTTTTTTCTTTTTCAATAAGAAGTCAAACTATAATTTAACCTTAACTAACAGTCATCAGTTTTAACAGGGTAACTGTTTATCCAGAAAGAGACAATAAAAAAGTAAAAGACCAGTACTGACAAATAATTTCAAACAGTTACATTCACTAAGAAACCCATAAAACACACTCACTGTTTAAATGCAATTAAAGGCGTATGTCTGATATTGATGAAGGACTTCTATAGTCATCAGGAGTGAAAGAGTAGTTTGATTGTTTAATAAATACAATAATAGTTCTAATTTCTTCTAAATATTCTATGTTTCATAATTACTAGGAACTATAAAATAAAAAAACTAAAAAACAACACAATTTATAAAAAAGAGAAGAAATGTTATATTTCATATTTCTTTTAACAGTATTTGCTGAGCAGTGTGTTAATGGTAATTGTAAAAAAGAAGAAGAGAATCTATATCCAGTAAATGGAGTAACTGTAGAAATTGCTGATTGTCTAAGAACATCATTAGATTTGACTGAAAGTTTTACAAATTTGATTAGTGAATGTCCAGAATCTCCTAAAAAGATGTTTCCATTGAATATAACACAATCTAACATTAGACAAATTTTAGCTTCTAACTCATATTTCATTTTTGATTCAAATGAAACAACTATTGGTAAAATGGATATTAAAGGTGATATCGCAATGGTTATTAAAAATGTTAAAGTTAATGTCATTAATGCTATAGAAGGAGAAACAAATATGACAATTCCAAAATGTAAAGAAGCTTGTAGTCTTCAAGTTGATCAAAGTTCTTTTAATTCTTTAAATGATTTTTATATTGGAAATAAAGTAACTATTAATGCAAAATCTATGGAATTAAATTGTTCTAAAGAATATCAATCATCTATTCATATTGGAGCTCATTCTCATATTAAGACTGATAAAATGAATATATCTGGTTTTACTATTATTTTTACTGAAGGTCATAAAAAAGTTAATATGTCAGGTCCACTAATTGTTGCTGATGAATTTACTACAAATAGACCTCTTTCTATCCAAGTTATTGACCGTCTTCGTCCACAACAATGTATTATTGCTATTAAATCCTCTTCATTAAAAAAATATCCAAAGACTATGCAATTTAAGATAGACGATTCATATTTGAACTTTGTTGTTCTTCCAGTAAAAACAGGAAATATTACTGAAGTTTTCTCTCCAGAAAAGAAAGTGTTAATATTTACTGAAGAAAATATTAATAAAATGGAAATTCCTAAAGGATATGAAAAGAAAACTTATGAAGGAAATTATGTTGTTCTTCCTTTAAAAACTGGAATAGAAATCTTCCCATTAGAGGACCTTGATCAGGACTTCATTATTAATAGAACAATTCTTCGTTCTGAAGAATCAAATCAAGAAGTAAGTAGCATGTATTTAATGAGAATTAATGACCAAAATCAAGTAAAACTTGATTTTAAGAATCCTAAGAAATATCTTATTGAAGGTAAAGAACATGGAAAAAAACATAAAACTACTGTTTACCAAATTAACTATTCTCTAAATGAACTTAATGTTAGTAACAATAACCTTATTTATCTTCAAGAATTTAAAAAGAAAACTGATATTGTTTTCCCAATAGAAGGTGGAGAAATAATGTCTATCCCTAACCATTATTTCAGAAAAGGAAATAAATATCCTCTTAAAAATTATGAAGTTTGGAGAATGGATGATGAGGAGTATTTTGTTTTTAACAAATTAACTATCCTCAATATGTTCTCTTTCTTCACTGATGTCGACTATAAGTTAACTCGTGTTGATGATCAGTTATTAATTTGCCATCCTCAAATTATTCCAAAAGAAAAAGAGATGAATGTCACTCAAGTTAACCAAACTCAAGTTAATGAACAAATCAATGATGAACAATTTAATTCTACAAATACAAGAAGTGATGAAGAGAATAAAGAAATAAAAGAAGAAAAAGAAGAAATAACAAAGAAAAGAAGTGATAATGAAAAAGAACAAAATGATGAAATGAAATCATAATTAATTTTTTATTCTTCTTTTTGTGGCTTTTCTTCTTCATTATTTGATGGAGATGGTGTTGTTGATATTTCTTGTGTTAATTTGATAGTTATCTTTTCTTTGTGTGTTCTTTGAATTTTTCTTCTATTCCACCATGGAATGATATACTTTTCAATTATTATCACAACACTTACAATTCCTCCTCCAATCCCAATCATCCACATTATATATTTTAATCCAGAATAAACTACAACTTGTGTGTTCATCATCTCTTGAATCTCTTCTTCTTTCAATCCTTTTCCCATTAAAAACTTTAACTTTGTATCATATGACAACTTACGTACTTCTCTATTTTGTAAAAACTTCTTCACCCTCTCTTTCA